AAGCACACTGCTGACCTGCGAAAGTTGCCTGCTCTGGGTCAGCAGGCTTTGGACTACGGTTCTCTCATGCATGGGCTTGCTCAGTCCGTGTCGCAGCCGACGTGTGCTGGTGCTGTAAGTGCTCGTGATACTCGCGTGCGATGTTATCGTGGAGCATGTTCCGCTGCATCTGGTTCGCATCTGCCAAATCATCCTCAGCCTACAATCCGAGCGGCCGCTCATCACCGCTGTCGGAATCGCTATCTCTTGTCTCTTGCAGACCGTAACGCCTTATGGTCGCCAGGCGATTAACATTGCTTCGTGGCCTGCACCATTACCCCGTTGTCGGCTTACTCTGTCGGTGGCTCGTGGTCATTATTATGCTCGCTGGTTTCGACAGACTCGAACTGGAGTTCCAGCAACTTTGGAGCCACTTTGACATCGGCATCGCAACTGCTTCCCTGGTCCTTCTGATTGTTCTTCGTTTGAGATCACCGTACCCATGGGCTTATTCATGGCATTATCCTCTGCGGCATGGTGCATTCCCATTAACATATTTTTCCAGGGCCACGAAGGGGCCTTCAGCTTTAATACCCAGGTTCTGAAAACGTTGTCGGCTCCCGCGGCACGCGCTCCAAACCCATAGAAATGGCGTTGTGCACTGGTACTCTGCCACCACACTGGATTCCCTTATCCATGCACTGTTGAAGGGCCTCCGTGGCCTATGTGAGCTCCAGCTTGACTGCGCTCACGGCTGAGACATTGGCGGCCTTTCCATCTTTCTGGGACTCTATCTTCTCGTTTTTGGATTGCGCCTCAGCCAAGCACGCCTTTGGCGATCTTGTCGGCCATGGAATACAACAGGATGTCCATGAGGAGCGTTCCTCACAATACTCTCGCCAGAGGCCGCTTCGTCTTTTAACCCCACCCTTCAACCAGACGCTATACCGGCTGCTCAAGCGGCAGGACCCGTCTGCTGGCAGCCCCCAGCGAGGGAACCACGGGCGTCTGCCAATCTTCGAACATGATTGGACACGACATCTTGCGCGAGGAGGGGAGGACGAAGAGGAGAAGGATGAGGGGGGAGCGAGAGGGAGGAGGGAGGAGTGAGAAGGAGGCAGGAGCAGGAGGAGCAGGAGGAGCAGGAGGAGGAGGAAGGAAGGAAGAGGAGGAGGAAGAGGAGGAGTAGGGAGGAGGGATGAGGACGAGCAGCAGGAGGGAGCGGCCTGCCTCCCGCGAAGGTGCAGCCCCCCGTCGGCCCCACGGTGACACTCAGAGAGTACATCCCTGGCTCCTCGGGGTGGGGGGGGGCTCCCTCTCAGGGCGCCGGGGACGGGGGCACAGCAAACGGGGGCGCGGGGAGCGCCGATTCCCACGTTAGGCTACAGTCAACGCGCCTAGTACGGACGCGCGCATTCATCTAGGTTACCCTTGTGTCCTCGCCTCTGCGGCCCGTCCTTTGCCGTTTTCATTCGCCTCTCCATGGGTTCGGATACCCTTGCGTCCCTGGTTTTGGTCGCCCGCCGCCCCAAAAAAACACCTTCGGCCTCTGATGGTCTTGCGTCCTTGCCACCCGCCCTTAATACACGTTTTGACTCTATGCCCCCGCTTAGGGAGCCCTGGGCGTCGCAGACAGGGGCATAGTGAACGGGAACTTCTGGAAAAGCCTAAGGCCCCGCTTGGCGATGCCCCCTTTTGCGTGAGGCCACGGGGCACGCTGCCAAGGCCTCCCACTTCCCCGTGCTGCAGGCCTAGACGTTTCTCCCTGCAGGCCCGCCCCTGGGAGGCCTCCCGCCCCTCGTCCTCCTTCTCCTCCTCCTTCTCCTCCTCCTCTTCCTCTTCCTCCTCCTATCTCCCTCCCTCCCTCCCTCCCTCCTCCTCCTCTCTCCCTCCTCCCTCCTCCTCCTCCTCCTCCTCCTCCTCCTCCTCCTCCTCCTCCTCGCCTCCTCCTCCTCCTCCTCCTCCTACTCCTCCTCCTCCTCCTCCTCCTCCTCCCCTGCCCACCTTGGCCCGAGCGCCAGCGGCGTGCCGCCCCTTCCGCACCGGTGGTGTGGCGCGGCGCGCGCCGTCGGCGCCGTGGCGCCACCGGCGCTCCGCCGGCGTGGCGCCTCTGAGGGTTGCCCGGCTTGGGCTGGGCGGCGGGCGCTGGCGCAGCGGCGCCCGGTCGCGGCGGCAGCCGCACGGGTGCCCTGGACAAGCGTAAGTTCACATTTGGTATTTGTGTTGGTCATTCTGGGAGTTAACAAAAACATGAACATATGAATCAAGGACCAGTGAAGACGCTGTGGTTTTGATGTCTCGCTGAATGGCGGCATCGCTTCGTTTTTGTGTTCGTTTTGCACCCGTAGCGTTCTGAACTTCTGTTGGAAAACTTTTGGGTTCGTTTTGTCTTTTGTTCCAAATGCAAGCGCGTTTTGCACGGCGTTGTGCCGGGTCCCTGCATATTATGATTTTATGTCGTATATTTAGAGTGGCACGAAGCGCATCCCCCCGCCTAGGCGGCCGGGCAGGGTTGGCCGAGATGATGGAAATCATGGGCGTGTTCTACAACATCCTGGGTGTCGTGCTCCTGGTCCTCGCGGGCTTCGTCATCTGGATCAAGTGGGACGCGGTCCTGCTGATGCTGACCGGAGACTCGAAGATCCACTGGAGCAGGTACGACCAGGCCTTCTGGTGTTGCTTCAGGTGTTGTGGTCTGACCAGTGGGGAGTGGACCCGGTCGCTGAGCGGGGCGATCTGCAAGTGCGAGTGTTGGCCCTTCTTCAGCAGGAGGTACGCTGGAAGGAACCTCGTTCGCATGCTGGGGGAAAGCGTCGGGCTGGTGCCTACACAGGTGCTGGTGGAGAACGTGGTGGTCGGTGACCTGCCCTGCTCCTGGATGAGGAGTCGACTGTACCTCCAGGTGGAGGTCGGCGACGGTCCCCCGCAGGTCTCGGAGGTCCTCGAGGACTGCAACCCCAAGGTGGCGCACTTCCAGACCAGGTTCACGCTGGCCGTCCTGCGGGGTGGGAACGGCGCGCCAGTGCGCTTCGTGATCCGCGAGCTGCACGTGCTGGGCCACAGGTAGGGCGACGAGATCTATGCATATCCACTGCTCCTGGCCAGGCCAATCCTGGGCCCAGGAGCGGTGTATATGCCCTCCTGGCCTGGCCAGGGAGGCATATACACAGCTCCTGGGCCCAGGATGGGCCTGGCCAGGAGCAGTGGATATGCATAGATCTCGTCGCCCTAACAGGGACGTCTGCGAGTGCCACGTCAACCAGGGGGACATCGTCGACTGGGCGGGGGCCGGCTGGCAGAGCCACCCGCAGGGCCCGCTGCGCTTCAGGATGTACCCCCCCAGCGGCGGCGAGCAGCCGGGGGCGCGGACGCTGCCGTCTTGGATATTCCTGGACTTTGGGGAGCACGAAGATGCCGACATGGCGGCTCCCCAGACCCCCCCAGTGGTGCGTTGGAACCAGGATTCCAAGGCGCACTAAGCCGTGGCGGCGAGGGCACCCTTGGTAGGCCCAGGCAGGCGAAGACGATGCTAGGCTCGCGCCGCGCTGACGTGGCTGTGACCCCAGCGCTGGCGTTCAAGGTTGAGCGCCGCCAGCTGCACGGGATTGGCCGACGTCGAACGATGTTCTGCGCCATCGGGACGCCGCGACCGTTCCCAGGCCGAACGATCCGCACGGTGTCCGTCAACCCGGCGCCGACATCGTCACGGCACGGTGCCGGCAGCTCCTCCGTGCTGCATTGTCATGGCGCCAACATCGCAGAGCGGATTTCGCTCGAAAAACAATGGGATGGGCCCGGACCGCCATGGAGATTCTCGTCCCAGGTTTTTCGAGGTGCCTTTCGTGCGTTGTTTTTTGTGTTGGCCAGAAGGAAGACTAATCACGAAATGTCCAAGTGGAAGTCACTCTGCCTTTCGCTCGCCGTTTCGGGGTCTTGCTTTGGCAGAAGCCCACGCAAAAATCCGCGTGCTCCCCATGTTCCCCTGAGGAGTTCACCATCCCCGACGAGCCGCCCGCGGCGAGCAGGGCGATGGGCAGCTTCGGCCTGCACCTGGTGCTCTCCAACGGCGACGTGGTGGAGACCGACAGCGCGAAGAAGTTCAAGCAGGACTACCAGCTGCTGAGCAGCGGCGGCGACCCACTCCCGCCGGGCTGCGAGCCCGACGAGGAGGTCGTTGTCGTCGTCGTCGTTGTCGTCGCCGTCGTGAGGAGGAGGAGGAGGAGGAGGAGGAGGAGGAGGAGGAGGAGGAGGAGGAGGAGGGAGGAGGAGGCGGGTCATCGTCGTCGTCGTCGCCGTCGCCGTCGCCGTCTGCGTCAGGTGGTGGGCGACCTGCAGAAAGCCAAGAGGCGACAGATCGGCATTGTGCGGTGTGGTTTCGTCTCTGTGCTGCTGTTCTGGCTTGGGTTCGTCGGCCTCGTCTCTTACTTCGGTTCTTGTTGGATCGAGTGGAAGAAGATCGCTGTCCTGGTGGAACACGACCTTGACTTCCCCGTCGCTGAGAGCGAGCAGCTGCGGGTGTGGCACGATTGCGGCTACGATGAGAACAGCTTCTATAGGGCCCTTCGTGCCACCTTGCGCTACATCTCCAGATACATGGAGAAGCGATTCCTCGGCTTCGTCGGAATGGCGCCACCGAGACCTGAAAGCCCTCCCGATGCCAGCAGCACGACGATGGATCCGATCCTCAACCCTTGCATGCCATCCGCGGCGAGCGTCCACGAGACATGCACGAACCTTCCTGAAGGGACCAGTTCCCCCATGTTCCCGGCGCCAGTCCTGGAGTACTTTGTGGAGTGCTCCGCCTCCTTCACCTGCGATGACGCCAGGGCAGTGATGTCGTTGTGCAAGAACGCCTTCGACACCGGCATCATCTTGCTGGTATTGCTCGCAGTCATCTCGTGCGTCATGCACGTGTACTTCCAGCACAAAGAGAAGCGGGCGTACCGACTCGTGGACTCTGGCGCGCGCGATCTCGAGGGGTAGCGCGCGAAGGCTCCCTGCCACCAGACTCGGGGAGGACGGAAGGGGGGTGAGGGGCAAACGGGGGCTACCGAAAGTGCTGCATGCAGCTGGTTTCGACCTCACTGTCCAGCACTTCCCTCGATACATGGTCGCCCCAAGCTCGCCAAGGCGCCAGAACAGACAGCTACGCGCAGCTGATTCGTGAAACCCCCCTTGGCTACCCCCCTTTACGTCCACCCCGACCGACGCGCCCAAAGAGGTCATTGAGTCGTTCGGCAGGAGAGAAATCAGTTCCTCCTGCTGCTGCTGCTCCTCCGCGGGTTCTTTCCCCTTCTCCCCACTCCTCCCCTCTCCTCATTCCTGCTCCTTTTCCTTCTCTTTCTGCGTCCGCTCCCTCCTGTTCCCTCTTTCTCCCCCTCCTCCTCCTCCTCCTCCTCCTCCTCCTCCTCCTGCTCATTTCGCCCCTCGCGCGCGGAATGAAGAGAGGGAGGGAGGAGGAGGACCAGTGCAAACCCAAGACTCATCAACGAAGTTGGAATGCACCCTCCCTCCAAGTTCCCTCTTCATGTGCCCGCACAAGGATGCATTTCCACTGAGGAAAGTGCACCGTTGGGGGGCAACCGTATGAAAATCTTGAAGCGTGCCAAAAGACCATTCTCAGGACTGCAACGCCACGAGTCAATCTGACTGCTGTGTTTAGACTATCTGGAATCGTGCTAGAACACCGTTCCTGGGGCTTCAACACCGCGAATCAACATAACTGTTGCGCCCTGACAGTCCTGAGTCGTTCCAAAGCGTCTGCGCTGGTACGTTAGCCATGACAAATAGTGAAGCTATGACAAATAGTGAAAGTCTTGCTAACCTTTGAGACGAATGTGCGCGGCGCGAAGGCGAGAGCCACATACATGTTGAAAACGACCCGCCCTCAATCCGCAAAGATCTTGCATTTTTTAAAAGACGAATGTGCGCGGCGCTTAGGCGAGAGCCACATTTTTTAAAACCACCCACCCTTAAAATGTGAAGCTTTTGCCATTGTTTAAGACGAATGTGCGCGGCGCTATGGCGAGAGCCACATGATGAAAACGACCCGCCCTCTATCCGTGAAGCTCTTTTTTTGTTGTAAGACGAATGTGCGCGGCGCTAAGGCGAGAACGACATTTTGGAAGCGACCCGCCCTCCATCGGTGGAACTGTTGCCAGTTTTTAAGTTTAAGCTTCAGATTCATGAGCGGTAAGGAAATCTCAGGCAAAACGCCCGGCCCGCCCTTCATCGGGGTGCGACAGGGAGCAGGTATTCATAAGAAAAGGAGTGGAGGAGGATAAGGAGGAGGAGGAGCAGCAGGATGGATCATGGAGGATGGAGGATGGAATAAGGAGGAGGAGGAGGAGGAAGAGGAGGAGGAGGAGCGAGCGAGCGAGACGCCATGCTGTCCAGAAGACCGGGCCCACTCGGGGCGGGGCGCGTGGGGCCATGGCTCTCAGATCTTGCAAAACTCGGTCATCAGAGAGTGCTACTCGTCCAGGTTGTCAGCGGCGTGCGTTGTCCAAGCCAGGTCATTCGCATCTCCGTGGCGTCTTCCGGCACCGTCTTTTTGTGGTAATGCGTCGGGACGGTGCGCATGCGGTAACGTTCGGAGATCGTCGTCCCACCGTTTATGCTGACCACCATGGTTGCGGTGTCCCTGCCGGGGCGCATTCGCTCCAGGGTGCCAACGTAAAGCCAGTAACGTCCAGCGGAGAGGCGGGTGATTGACCAGCCGAAGGGCATATGTTTCCACTGTAGACTGTCTTTGGGTCGTGGTCCGGCACTGAGTGCCGTGCCGATGAACAAGGTCTTCCGCACGGCGGGTAGCCCGCCGGACATATTCCACCCAAGACTCCTCATCCGAATTGGTGCTGTCATTGTCGTCGTCGGCGTCGTCGTCGGCAGACGTGTCGTGTGAGAGGGGGTCGGCAGGAGTAGGGAGATTGCTTTCCAAGTCGCTGTCGTGAGACGTGGAGGTCGCGCTGCTCGTCGGTATGTGTGTGGTCGTGTCTGCTGGGGAGCACAGGTCGTCGTTAACAGAGGTCACGTTGCCTGAAGTGCGTGTTCCCGTTGTCTTCTTTCTCGGGATATTCACGATCATGCGGAGCATGCGTCTTTGAGTTTTCTGCGGCTGTTGGCGGATTGCCGTCTTGAGTGTCCACTTCGCAGATTCGTAGAGGATGGTCGGTGTAACGACGCCGATGAAGAGACGAAATCGGCGCTGTAATGGGTAGTGCGTGCCTGTGAGCTCATGCTTGTGCTTTGTGAAAGCAGCCCATGCGGCCTCGATGCGGTTCTGCACCTCTGTCTGTGTTCTGTCGTTGAAACTGCTAGTCTGTCCAAGATATTTGAGGAATCCCGTATACGGAAAAATATCAACATCCATACCACACACTTCCAATTTTGAAGCTTTGGTTCTCCCAGTGCGCCGCGTCACATTGATTATGATTTTGGTCTTCGCGGGGTGCAGCTCTAGTCTATGAGGGCGGGCAGCCTGAAAAATGTCCGTCAGCATGCCGTGGAGGTGCGGGAGGGTCTGGGCGGTTAGAAACACATCATCAGCGAAACGTAGGTTGGTCAACATGGAAATGTTCGTCGTGCCCAACAGTATGCCCATCTGTTTTTTGGGCAATTTTTGGATTAGTGGCGCCATGATGTGTTGAAGGACGGCGTTAAACAGCAATGCGCTCAGAGGATCGCCTTGTTTCGTGCCATGGCGGAGACGGAAAGAACGACTGGTGACATCGGTGCGCACGGTGGTTTCCTGGCCATGGTAGAAACGTTGCATGAGATGCATGTATCCCGGCTCGACGCCTTGTTCGCGTAAGGCGGACCACAGACTGTCGTGCTCGATGCAGTCGAACGCCTTTTTGAAGTCAAGCGCAGCGATCCATAACGGTTGATTTTAATCCTAAGCTCGCTCGCGAACCATGTGGAAAGTAAAGAGGTGGTCAGTGGCAGAATGCCTTGGTCGAAATCCGGCCTGGTCGTGAGGCTGCCGCTGATCAAGACCAGGCTGGAATCGGTTACATAAGAGTCTGCTAAAAAGCTTGTACGGCAAAGGTATAGAACATATCGGCCGGTAGTTTTGAGGTACGGTGAGGTCTGCAGCTTTCGGTTTCACGGAAATGACAGTCTTCTTCCATTTCTCCGGAGTGTCCCCGTCAGGGCGGGTCACCTTGTTGTGCAGAAGAAACAGAGCATCATTGAGCCCCATCGGACCCGTCCTGCAACACCTCTGCCGTGATCCCCATCGCATCTGAGGCCCTGCCACTCTTGAGGTCGGAGATGGCCGTCTTCAGTTCCGCCGCGGTGAAGAGAGGTACGGAAGCATCCGAGAATCCAGGCGCTAACGAAGTGTTGGAAGAATCGTACAACTCATCATAAGCTGCAGCAAAGACGTCGGCAATTCCTTTCCGGGATGTTCTGGAGCGGCCTCTGGCGTTCGTCATTCGTGTGATCGTGGTCCTTTTTCGCCTCGTCTTCGCAGCGGTTATAGCTCGTAGGTTCTTGTATTGTTCGAGTATCGTGGTGATGCGAGCTTTCCGTTTCCGCCGCTCGCGCAGGGTCGTCTCCTCGTCATCGTCGTCGTGTCGTGCGTCCGCGGTCTTCTCGGTATCCTGCCTATCGTCGGCCGCTCTCTGTGGCAGCGATTCGAGAAGCGATTCCTGTATGTACTCGCACAAATCATTAGGATATGCGGGAAGAAAAGCAGATTGGAGGAGTTCCTTCTGACGGCGCCGGTATTGTCGAGAGTTGTGTGATCTCTGAGCGCCATGGGGACTCGGTATACGAATTTTGCAGAGTCTCCGACTCAAGGAACGTTGCGGCAATTAAATCGCGACGGAGGTCTCCACGACGGACGCGTAGTGTAGCAATGCGTGGGGAAACAGCGTCACATTTGAGAAGGTGTGTGGCCCAACGGCGGTGTATGAGCATACCTACGCCCTGAGACCTTCGGGAGTTGCCGGCTCCTGCGAAAACATGCCCGTGAGATGTGGTCCAATATTCTTCCTGGTCGGAGCGCCATGTCTCGTTGATGAGAACAAAATCCCAGTGGTGGTCACCAAGTTCGTTCATAAGCTCGGTGATGCGGTCGTCGGTCGTCAGTGACCTGGCGTTTTTGTGAACGATGGTTAATTGATGCGTGTCAGTGTCGCAAGGGTGTTGCGACGAAAAATCAATATGCGTGCTCTCGGAAAGGATAGGGGCGTCGGAGAGGTCACCGACGCGAAAACATGCAGGTAGGTCGCCATGTACGTGATGATATCGGCCCCGTCCGCCTCCTCCTGCGAGAAGTGGCCGGGATGATCTGCCAGATGTAATCCGTGAGAGTGGGACCAGAGAATCGCAGACTGTTTGTGTTGAATTCTGTGTGCATTGGGGCACGTGGGCCTCACGTTCCACGGAGGAAGGAGTGCACCGTCACTCGGACTCTGTCGCTGGATCAGGGTCGAACTTCTTCTTCCAAGCATCCATGGACTCCTTGACGGCCTTCTCCACCTTCTTAGCGGTACCCGTGGTGTGCGCCCATGAATTTCCACCATGTTCTTCCGCCAGATGACTTTGGCATCGTCGTCCGTGGCATGCTTCTTGTCGATGAAGTGGTACTTGGTGTATCCAAGGAGTTTGTCGTTGGTCCGTTCCTCCAGTGTACGGATGTTGCGGAAGGACATCGGTTTCACGTTGTCGTTGTATTATTTCATTTTCTTGTAAAACTCAGTTTTGGCCGAAACGTTTTGGGCAATTATTATCCCCATTCGTGCCGGGTCCCCGCCAGCTTCCACTTTGGCAGCATGACCCTGTTCCAGGACCTCAGTCAGCATGGTCTTGATCTTCTCAATGATGATGTTCGCGGCCACGCGTTCCTTAAAGCCGAATTATGCCTCGCGTGGTTGTCCTGGTCGGTGTGGTTGGTGGGTCTTGAGCGCTTGATGGACTCGACCTCCTTCTTTACAACATCCATTGTAGCATTAGTCTTCATTATCTCGTCTTCGATCCCAGCAACGGCCAGCGACGTCTCCAGAGCTTTCTGCTTTGCAGACTTCGCCTCGTTCTTAGCTTTCTGAGCGATAGCAAGGCTGGCGTCAACTTCGGTTCCAAGACTTCCCATCATACCTTTGAGTTCGGTGAACATTTATTCAACTCGGTCTGGTTGAGGTGTAGCCTTAGTCTGCTTGTGATTGTCGGGGGAGCTGCCAGAGGTAGCGGCATGCTTCGACATCGTGTGCAGTGGCAGGTGTATTGTAAGCAGAAGTATGCGTGAGCACCCGAAGTATGCGTGAGCACCTTGAGCACCTTGAGGAGGAGGAGGAGGAGGAGGAGGAGGAGGAGGAGGAGGGAGGAGGAGTCAAATTAGCCAGGTAGAACGAGTCGGCGGGCCCCATCCATCCCCACATCCCCACCCTCTTCCACAACCTTAAAATAGTTTGCATCACATTTGCACTCTGTGATTGGAGCGCTTATCCACCAAGCGAACGGACGGTGCTCGCGCCAGGTCCCGCTTCCGACGACTTGGCGAAGGGAAAATTACGTGGGCCGCGCAAAGGCGGACGCGGCAAAACTTCCGATAAGTGCAGAGAAGGCGAAGCATGCGCCGCGTTTGGGTGAGGACAGTATTTCGCCCGCTCTCGTGCGGTCTTGCTGCCGCTGCCGCTGTCATGCGATTCGGCGAATGGGACATGCGCCGCGCCCGCGTGGGAACGCCATTTCCAAGCGAAGTGTTCACGTCATTAGCTTTGGCGAGGGCGACAAGTTGCCCGCTCGCGCGGGGCCCCAACACTTGGAGATCGACAGATGCGCGCCGCGCTGCGGCGGAAGCGTCACGCTCAAGCGAAGTCTGCGCGGCGACGACGCGAGGGCGACGTTTTTGCCCGCTCGCGCGTCGACGATCCGGCGAAGAAGAAGTGCGCGCCGCGCCCGAGCGAGAGCTCCATTCTCCGGAGAGAGGAGCGCGGCGCCCGGACGCGGGCGGCATGTCGCCCCTCCGCGTGGGAGGTGCGCCCCGTCGCCTGGGCGTCGCGTCATGGGAGGCGGTATAAAATGGGGGGGCAGCGAGGGCTGCAGAAAAGGGGCCTCGAAGGGTCCCTGAAGAGACCCTCCAGTCGGAGGGCACCAACCATACACCAACACCGATCCTGGCCCAGGATCACCCTGGGCCCAGGATCGGTGTATATGCCTTCTTGCCCAAGGCAGGAGGGCGTATACACCGATCTTGGGCCCAGGGTGATCCTGGCCAGGATCGGTGTTGGTGTATAGTTGGTGCCTCCCTATCCAGGGCCCAACAGGGCGCCTTTAGGACCCGAAAAGTGCTCTTTCCCCTCCATGCATCGCCCCCTCTATGAAGCGACGCCCAATCAGGCGAGGGTGATGTTTGCGCCCCGTCACACTCTTGCCGCGCACTTTGCGACGTCGCCACGGGCTGCTCGGTCGAGGGCGCACCGAGTACGGTCGGCCCGAGGTGCAAGATCGAGGTCGGTTCGGGGAGGGTACCCTGATGATCTTCGTATTTGCTGTATGTTCCTTGAGCAGATGGTCCGGCTCTCTACAAGGAAAGCCAATGTTTGTTGTATCTTCCTGAGAAAAGCGATTGTTCGGCTTTCTTCGGTGCTCCGCGTGAGGGGTGCATCCTGGGGAAGGATACCATGAAGGATGGTTTTACTGTCCAGGCGGAGGGCCTCATGTTCTTGAAGGATGTTCGGCTGTTTTTGGTCCAGCTGTGCGGCGGCGGCTGCCCTCAGCAGCCCCGCCGCGGCCTAAAGCAGTCGCACCGCCTCACGGGAGTGCGCCGCTGCGGGACCGTTGGCCGCATGCGCCGCCATCAAAGCGCCGCGCGACGCCTCCAGGGCGCCAGCGCGCGCGCGCGCCTGCGTTCCCCGGCAGCAGGCCCAGCGGCGGCGCGCACTCGGGGAGTCGCCCAGCGACGCATCGTTTGAGCCAAGACGGTACTTCGCCAGGACGACGAAGACGACGAGGACGAGGAGCAGGAGGAGGAGGAGAAGGAGGAGGAGGAGGCGGAGGCGGAGGAGGAGGAGGAGGAGGAGGAGTAGCAAGGAGGAGGGGGAGGAGGAGGAGGAGGACCAGTGTAAACCCAAGATTCGTCAACGATGTTGGAGTAAACCCTCCCTCCAAGCTCCTTCGTCATAGTCCCCTACAACGGTTCATTTCCATTGAGGGAACTGCCTCGTTGGAAGACAACCGTTTGAAGACCTTGAAGCATACCAAAACATTGTTCTCGGGATTCCAACGCCACGGACCAACCTGACTGTTACAGATTGACAATCCGGAATCGTGCCAGAACGCCATTCCTGGGACTTCAGCACAGAAACTGTTGCACCCGCATAATCCCGAATCCTTCCAAAGCACAACTTCTGGTACGCTGATGATGGGAATCCGTGAAAGTCTTGAACATGTTAAGAACAAAACGAGTGCGCGCGGCGCTAAGGTGATAGCCACGTTTTGAAAAGGAGCTGCCTTCAATCCGTGAAACTTTTGAACATGTTGTAAGCGAATGTGCGCCGCGCTAAGGCGAGAGC